CTTTAACTCCCGTAACTACCGTAACTCCTGTGACTCCTTTGATTCCTTTAACTCCTGTAACTCCTTTAACTCCCGTAACTACCGTAACTCCTGTGACTCCTTTGATTCCTTTAACTCCTGTAACTCCTTTAACTCCTGTGACTCATTTGACTCCTTTAACTCCTGTGACTCCTTTAACTCCTGTGACTCATTTGACTCTTTTGACTCCTTTAACTCCTGTGACTCATTTGACTCTTTTGACTCCTTTAACTCCTGTGACTCCTTTAACTCCTTTAGCTCCTGTAACTCCTGTAACTCCTTTGACTCCTTTGACTCCTTTAGCTCCTTTAACTCCTGTAACTCCTTTAACTCCTGTGACTCCTGTGACTCCTTTAACTCCTGTAACTCCTTTAGCTCCTGTAACTCCTGTGACTCCTGTGACTCCTTTGATTCCATTAACTCCTTTAACTCCTTTAACTCCTCCCTCTCAGAGCCTGATGCTGCGTTTCTACTCGTGCAGGTCGACAGAATCAGTCACATGACGAGGACGTCGGTCAGGTTGAGGTTTAAACTTTTCATATCGTGTATTTTTAAGAACATAATGAACACGTTTTAAATAACCTGCCTTTTTAAAAAAATAATAACACATTTTCTTGACTTAAACTACTGTTTGTTTTATTTTTAAATAATTAATGTGCCTTCTTAAAATAATTTCCCTTCCTGATGCAATAAACGTTTGTGTGTCAGAATCGTGTCGGTCAGCTGATTGCTGCCATTAATCCCTGTGTGTTTAATCTCTTTCTATTATTATCTTTTTTCTGTGACTCACTGACTGTGTTGGAAACTCACAAGATTCAGAAAATCCTCTAATGAACCAGTGAGTGTGGTCTGTGTTTCTAGTTCAGAGCTGGATGTGGTTTGAGGAACCTGTTGGAGACGCTACAGGCAGCTTACAGGTGAGTTACCACCTGGACAGGGTTCTTACAGTAGACGTCGACCCGGATGGACCGGATGGCCGGGGAGCCCAGCCCGTTCTCAGCCTTGCAGTAGTAACGTCCTCCCTGGTGGCGGCTGATGGTTTCGATCTTCAGAGTTTCGTTGTGCAGCGAAGAGTCGCCCTGTCGGTCCGAAGCACCGCCGGCCGTCTTCGTCCAACGGATCTGCAGCAGAATTAAAGAAACCACAGTTTAGAATTATCTGAGAGACGGCGAGAAACTGAAGAACTGTGGAACGGTCCGAGGAGCTTCAGATGTTCTGGTTCTCCTCCAACAGCAGAACATGTGGACGACCTAATCCAAACATCCGGCTGAGTCTGAAAAATCCACCAGCAGTAGAACTGGGTCTAAAGAGTCCAAAACCAGTTCAAAAACCAGTTGAAAAAAACAGTAAAAAAAACCAGTGTACACCCAAATTCAAAACCAGTATAAAAATCAGTCTGGAACTACTGCATACCCAGCACAAAACCAGTTCAAAACCAGTTCAAAACCAGCACAAAACCAGTTCAAAACCAGTATAAAACCAGCACAAAGTCAGTACAAAACCAGCACAAAACCAGTACAAAACCAGTATAAACCAGTGTAAACCAGTATAAAACAGTTTAAGACTTGTTCAAAACCAGATCTAAAAACTGTCTAAATTAATCCAAAACCCAGTCTAATGTCAAGTCCAAAACCAGACTAAAACCAGGTCCAAATCTGCCCAAAACCAGTTTAAAACCAGTCTGAATACAATCCCAGAACCAGTCTGACACCAGACAGTAATATTAATGTAAAACACATCGAACGTGTCCCAAACCAAACTAAAACATTATATAAACATACATGTTATATATATAAAGTCTGTGTGTCGTCCAGCCTCTCGGCCACGTTTGTCCTCTTTCAACATCTGTTGTTCAGCTCTTCATCCTCCATCATCATCACCATCATCATCATCATCATCATCACCATCATCATCATCATCATCATCATCATCATCATCATCCTCCTCCATCTGTCTCTGACATCTGTAGATTTTAACTGATGTCGGTAATATTACAGTACAGTACCTCAGTACTGTGTACACTGATGACAGTATTACTGCAGTACTGTGCACCATCTGCTGTGGTTCTGTTGTCTGCTGTGGTTCTGTTATCTGTATCAGCTGCTGTGTGTGCTGATGTGGACCAGAGTTCAGGTGCAAACACCTGAGTCACTGCAACAGGACCCAGACGAGTCCAAACCACTGAGAGGAGGCTGGTCGCCGTGGTAACAGGGGCCCGACTCCAGCTCCCGGAGTTTTATCCTCTGAACCTCAAAACCAGCAGCAGCTCTGAAAGTGTGAAAACAAAAAGAATCAAGAGATTTTAGCTTTGTGACATCCTGACATCATGTGACGCATTCTGTTCTGTTCTGTTCTGTTCTGTTCTGTCAAGAAAACCGGGACGTTTCCTCAGAATTACTTTATTCAAGGCATCTTTATTTTCCTGTTAAATTTAGAGATTTGGAGACATTCTGGCAAGTCCAGGAAGTCTAAAGCTGCATCCAAGACCAGTATAAACCAGTATAAATCCACTATGAAACCATGTCTAAGAACAGTGTAAAATCAGACTAAAACCAAATCTGAACCCAGTCTGAAACCACAGCTGATACCAATCGAAAACCAGTTTAAAACCAAATCAGAAACCAGTATAAAACCAGTATAAAATCAGTACAAAGCCAAAATCTAAATCCAGTTTAAAATCAACTCTGATGAAAATCTAAAACCAGTCTAAAATCAAATGTAAAACCAGTCCAAAACCTGTCAAAAAACAAATCTGAAACCAATGTGAAACCACTTTAAAAACAAATCTAAACCCAGTCTAAAATCCAATCCGACAACAAAATAAAACTGGTCCACAAACAGTCTGAAACCAAATCTGAATCTGAAACTAGTCAGATGGACTGGTTTTAGATCGGTATTGGACTGGTTTGGACTGGTACTGGATTGGTTTTAGATCAGTATTGGACTCTGTCTAGGCAGGTTTTGGACTGGTTTTAGACTGGTTCTTGACTGGATTTGGACTGGTTTTAGACATGCATTGGACTCCTTCTAGTCATGTTTTGGACTGGTTTTAGACTGGTATTGCACTGGTACTGGACTGGTTTGGACTGATTTTGGGCTCATTCTAGACTGGTTTAAGATCGATATTGGACTCTTTCTAGGCAGGTTTTGGACTGGTTTTAGCTGGTTCTAGACGGGTCTTGGGCTGGTTTTCGACTGGTACTGGACTCCTTCTAGGCAGGTTTTGGACTGGGTTTAAACTGGTTCTCGACTGGTTTTGGACTGGCTTTGAACATCCTTCGGACATGATGGACTGATGTAACGGTGATTTCCATCGGAGGCTGACCCAGCTGCCAGACTGTCTCCTCAGCGTGTTTCGTATCGCCTCCATCAGCCTCCATCACCTCCATCAGCAGATTTTACACTCTGATTGTCTCCACCTGCTTCAGCCTCCAACATGTCGCTGCCAGCTGGAGGCAGAAAATGGACTTTTTATCGGCCGTCAGACAGACGGTTAACGGCCTCAAAGCGCTGAATTAAAGAGCTAAAAATAGACTCGGAGCAGATCCTGGATCAGTGACGACACGACGTCTAATTAACACAACACCACTGTACTTACAACAACACGACTGTCTGAGCCCACAGGAAGGACGGCGGCTGGCAGAGAGTTTTCAGATGAACCAGACACTAGAACCCAGAACCACGAGGACGAGCTGCTGCCAGTTTATTCTTGTGTTATAAACAGAATCCATGATGGCAAGATGGGCTCTGGTTTGGGTCTGATTTAGGACTTGGTTTTAGGCATGTTTGGGACTTGGTTTCAGACTTGGTCCTGGACTAATTTTATCCTGATTTTGACTAATTAACGACGACTATTTTCAGACTGATTTTGGACTGATTTAAGACTTGGTTGGACATGTTTCTGACGGCTTTTAAATTTGGTTTAAGACTGCTTTTAGAGTTATTATTTACTGGTTTTAGACTGGTTTTGTATAATCTTTTGAGTTGGTACTAGACTGATTTTTGATGTGGTTTCAGAGTTAGCTTCAGATGGTTTCAGGTGGTAGGAAACTGCTGGAAAATTGACTTTCAGCAGTTTTTTTTAAACTGGTTTTAGATTGGTTCTAGACTGATGTGGTACTGACTTTAGACAGTTCCCCAGTGGTCCATCTTTGGGCCACTTTGTTAACGACGACACACCAGGAACCAACTGCTGCTGGTTCAGAAGCCTGCAGGGCGGAGGAGGCAGGATGCTCTACATCAGTGAGGAGGAGGCTCCAGGTTACATCAACCCCCAGTTCAGTGTTTATCAAAGCTGTTCCAGGTGAAGTACAGGTGGTGTACATATGGAACTTCTATCTGCAGTCTGGGGCTGATTTCTGACTTCCAGTTGTGCAGCATCAGTAGAGAGTTGAGGTGAGTGTTGGAGGGTGGAGTTTAAAACAGCCGGCAGGAGTCTGGACTGATGATTTATTAAAGGCTCTTCACAAGTAATCAAATCTGAGCGACCACACAGGTTTGAGTTTGTGGGTGACCTGCTTCCTGCCTACAGAGAGAGGAGGCTCATGGGAAAACGAGTCTGGACCTAAAATAGATTCTATGCAACTTTGAACTGCACTGATTGAAGTGAGCGTCTGGCATTGAGGGGATCACAGAGGACGATAGATGCAAGTTCTAAACGGTTTTCTTTACCAAGACTCAGCAGTATCATCAATTGATAATCAATCATCGTTAAATAAAGCAGAGTGGACATCCTTCAACATGCTGTCAGATCTATTTTTAATCACTGACATGTGGCACAGCAGCCACCGTCCTGGTTAACTGGAGGTCATCTTCAGTGTGTGAGCTCCAGCTGGAGGTCATTGACCTCCAGAGTCCCTGTCATGGTGCCCGCTGCTGGATCAACTCCCACAATGCTCTCTGCTGCCAACATGAACTTCCTGAAGTCCTGAGTGTCCTTGAGAAACATAGTGTGCAGCAGAGGAAGCTGCATTTTCAGGACTGCATTTCCAGGACCCTTGTTTGTCGCTACAGCGCCTCCTACTGGATTCCATAAGAATTGAAGCGTGAACTACACTTCTAAATAAGACTGACGACTATCATAGCGTGAATACTGAATGTGAGCCAAGTCCGAAAAACAGTTCTGATGTCTTCAGTTGGACAATAAAGTTGCTGTTTGCTTAGCTTAGCATAGAGGGGTTAGCTTAGCATAGAGGGCTCATGTCTTGACTCTCCAACCTTTAAATATCAGTCTGAGATGTTCAGACTACAGAGGCCATACGACTGCATTGTTATTTTACCGACCGTGACCTAATTATGCTAATTACACAATTTCCTCAACATGCAACCAAATTGTATTGCAGAAAGTAAACATTTGGATGGAATAAACTTTTTAAACTATATGTACTTGGACACGAAGTAGTATTTTCATTGCAATAAGTCTTTAAAACTGTATGAACTTAGAAAGTAATATTCAGGTGGACATTGGCTGTCGTCAAATTGGGTAGGTAGCGCTGTTGCTAAAAGTCTAGAAACGAGGTCCTCCTCTGGTCGCTACGCTGTTAAATGAACTGCAGCTCTCCATGCTATCAAACAGGAAGTAACAGCTGACGGACAAAACATCTCCTGACATGAACGTCCTTCATCTTCTGCCTCGCTAGTTAACACATTTTCAATCTGTTACTATAAACAGCAAATAATCGATTTATCATCACCGTTCCTAATTGAGGCTGAATGATTTGGGGATAAAAGTGTATTTTTCTGACAGACTTTGTGATTTTTATGCAGTAAAGTCGGGTTTCAGTTATTTAAAACATGAGATTAACACATGAGACACCATCTGGCAGCATAACATAAAACCTAAACTACGATGATTGCGACGATGTAAAAGACCTCCATTCATGTGAAGAATGAATAAAGCAGCTGTTAAAATACGTCATGATTCCACCTGCTTGTCTTTTTTAACCACGTGCTTTTTTTTGTAATAATTTTGAAGTTCGGACTCACATTTCTCACTAATTTCCGAATAATTAAAGAAGCTAATAATCAACAGATTGATCCGTAGTGAAAGTATTCTGTGATGCTCGACGGCCTCTCCAGCGTGTCTTCGGTACGTTTCATCCTGCAGCCGGTTCTCTGCAACAAAACGCCGACTGACTGCACATCGCTGTCTGTTTATGTGAGTGTGTTAAAACCCTGTTAATGATGTGAGATGTGAAAGCCCGGTTCAGAGCAAGTCGTCGCTCAGCACCGAGCTGAAAGGTGCTGAGGAGAGGAGAAGAAGAAGAAAAGAAGAAGAAGAAGAAGAGGGGATGAAGGAAGGATGCAGAGGAAGCTGAGCTCTGCAGTGACGCAGAAAAAAACAGTGTGTGTGTGTGTGTGTGTGTGTGTGTGTGTGTGTGTGTGTGATTCAGACTGTGTGCCAGCAGCTGATCTATTTATAGCAGCAGCAGACTGACAGCAGCGAGGATGAAGAGCGGAGGAGGAGGAGGAGGAGGAGCTGTCACTCACTGCTGATCTGACCTGATTATTGATTATTACTGATGAAGGACAGAAGCAGCTCTGGGACCGGAGGCGCCTCGGAGGTGTGGTTCTGCCTTAATGCCATGAAATACTGAGTGTGAGTCGTCGGCGCCGCCTGACAGAACAAACCCAGCTGGAATCAAACAAACCTGAGCTGAAGATGGAGAAATTTCATCTGAATCACTTTGTTCTGCGCGACTCGAAAAGAAATGAGATTCTGTCAAAAATCGGAAAGTGGTGTGCAGAGGTCAGCGGTGACACACTGACCGCTCTGCAGCTACACAACTCCATACCGGCCAAAAATAACCACTAGGACACACAGCATGTCCGCAAAAGAACTACAGAGAGGCATAAAGTGTTCAAACGAAACACACAGTGTCTACAGAGATGTATAAAACAACCACAAAGGCACACAAAACAGCCACAAAGAGACAAAATGAAAACAAAGAAACACAAAACGACTGAAAAGAGATGCAAACAGACAACAAACAGACATAAAGCAACAACAAAAATATACAAAGCAGCCACAGAGGCATTAAAAACACACAAAACAACCACACAGACTTACAAAATGTCCACAAAACAACCGCAAAGAGACACAAACTGACTACAAAGAGACAAAATGTCCAAATTAAACAACAAGAAAGAGACACAAAACCACCACATTGACTCAAAAAAACCACAACAGGACACAAACTACGAACAAAGAGACACAACAGGATCACAAACCCATTACAAAGAGACAAGAAACACAAAACTACTCCTACAGAGACGCAAGACAACAAAAAAGGGACACAAGACAAATACAAGGACACACAAAACAACCACAGAGACAAAAAACAGTCTCAAAGATACACAAACTGAGACACAACACAACAAGAGAAACACACAAAAGTACTTAAAATGACAACAAAAACAACCAGAAACACACACAAAATGATTAGAAATAGACACAAACAGGGCAAAAGAAACCACAAAAAACTCACACACAGACACACACAGTGACATGAATCGACCGTTAAACGATCCAGACTCGTGGTTTTGTGTGTCTGAGTTCAGAGAAGTCATCGATGGAGAAACGTTTACTGTCACAGCTGCAGGAATCAATCAGAGCTCGTCTTCTTCTTCTTCTGATCCTCTTCAGTCGCGTTTCTTCTTCTTCTCCTCTCGGTAAACGTCGTCCTCCATTCGGTCCTCCAGGAGTCTCTTCTTCTGTGATTCCTCTCATTTATCAAACACAAAGGCGTCCCGGCGGGTCGGCTCAGCGGGGTTCTGGCTCTGCAGCGCCGCCGGGGCTGATGGGAGCTTTTCTCTTTGTGGCGCCGCAGACGTCGATACGGTGGAGGGAAGCGGTTACAGGAGCTGCTGCTGCTGCTGCTGGTTCCCTCCCAGTACCACCAGTATCACCAGTGTACAGACCAGTAGCAGGGCTGAAGAGGTGAAGAGCTGCAGCTGGTCATGACTTCAGCTGTCTGACGGTTCGTTTCTGGATGAATCGATCGACTGGTTGGTTCTAAAAAAGTGGATCAGAGTTTCCTCAAACGTCTTGTTTTATGCAAATATTCAGTCTCCTGTCCCAGAGGAGGAAGGAAACCAGAAATACTCACATGTAAGGAGCTGAAATCACAGAATTTAGAGTTTCTTTTAAAACAAAAAACACGAAAAGTGATTAACTGATGAAGCAAAAACTGTGACAAAGTGACGTCTAAAGATTCAGCTTCATTCACTCAGTTTCACCAATAGGACAAAATAAATCTTAAAATATTCACATTCAGGAAGCTGCAAACAGAGAATTTAGACTTTAGAAGTTACTCTAACTGATGAATCGATCATCTAAACATGTAGCGAGTGATTTAACAGTCAGACAGCTCTGTGAACACGTCGTTCTGGTTCGTTGGAGGCTTTAATGGCCGTTTATTAAAATGATTTTATGGACAAATGAGTTGTTAGAAATGAGACCACAGTGGAGCTGCAGATAACGGTTACCTTTTATTTTAATTCTATGTCTCTCTAATTATTTCTTCTTCTGCAAAAAGACAAAGTTGTGAAAACTGTCCTCTATAATCTCACACGTGTCGCCTTCACTTTCAGTTTGATATCAGATGGCAGAGAGAAGTCTCGGCGTCCTGCGACATTTCAGAGACTAAACAATAAAATCAACAAAGAAACAATCAGCGGATGAGTCTGTGATAAAAACGTGTTGGTTGTCGCCCTAAAAGCAGAAAAGAGAAACGAGTTGGAGGGTTAAATCGCTGTCGACTGTCGTCCTCAAAGATCTGAACAGTTTGAACAAACGTCACGAATCTCTGCAGCAGCAGCACAGAAACAGAAACAACCGACGGCAGTGAGTCAGTCCCACAGACACACAGGAGCTCCTGTGAGTCACAGCGCAGGGCAAAGAGGCACATGGTGGGAGCTGGAGGTGGTCACATCCACAATAACCAGTAAAACCAGTAAGACCAGTATCACCACGAAAGCCAGTAAAACCAGTAAGACCAGTACCACCACTAAAACCAGTAAGACCAGTATCACCACTAAAACCAGTAAGACCAGTACCACCACTAAAACCAGTAAAACCAGTAAGACCGGTATCACCACTAAAACCAGTAAGACCAGTATCACCACTAAAGCCAGTAAAACCAGCCCGACCAGTATATTCAGTATAACCAGTAGCCTCTGAATATAAACCAGTCCAACCAGTATAACCACGAATACCAGTTAAACCAGTAAGTCCACTATATTCAGTATAACCAGTAAGCTCTGAATACAAACCAGTATCACCAGTATAACCAGTTCAAGCTGAACAGTGACGCTGTGCTGCTATTGGCTGATAGGGATCAGCTGATTCATGCAGCTTTCTAATGATTGGTTCCTTCAAAACCCTGCTGATGTCTAACGTCCATTCTTATTCACAGGACCTCCTCCACCAGCCCAGACTCCTCCCCCAGTCCTCCAGTCCTCCCCAGTGCTCCCAGTCCTCCAAGTCCTCCCAGTCCTTCCAGTGCTCCCAGTCCTCCCAGTCCTCCCAGTCCTTCCAGTCCTTCCAGTCCTCCCAGTCCTTCCAGTGCTCCCAGTCCCCCCAATGTTGCCAGTCCTCCCAGTCCTCCAAGCGTTTCCCAATCCTCCCAGTCCTCCCCAGTGCTCCAGTCCTCCCAGCCCTCCCAGTCTTCCCCAGTCCCCCCAATGTTACCAGTCATCCCAGTACTCCAAGTCCTCCCCAGTCCCTCCCAGTCCTCCCAGTCCTCCCGGTACTCCCACTCCCCCCAGTCCTCCCCAGCCCTCCCAGTCCTCCCAGTCCTACCTGGGGTCGGGGGTGTCCGGTGACCAGACACTGCAGCTCCAGAGTCTCTCCCTCTCTGATGGTATAAACTCTCTCGCTGTATCGCTCCTCCTCCACGTTACAGGCCTGACCGGAGTGCACGATCCGCACAGTGGGGGGCGCTGTGGAGACACACACACACACAGGTTCAACACAAAAGTCAACAACCAACACACATCGCTGTAGATTCGATTTATGGATGGTTTTTGTAGTCGTTTTGTGTCTCTTCGGGGCTCTGCTTTGTGTCTTCTTATGATCATTTTGTGCGTCTTTGTCATTGTTTTGTGTTTTTCCATAGCTGTTTTTTTTTCTCTGTTGTCATTTTGTGTCTCTTTGTCGTCTTTTTGTATTTTTCGTAGTCATGTTTCGTCTCTTCCCGGCTGTTGTGCGGTTGTTTTGTGTCTTGCTGTGAACATTTTTGTCTCTTTGTCGTCTTTATGTCCTGTAGTTCTTTTGTGTCTCTTTACTATTGTTGTGTCTCTTTGCCTCTTTTTGTGGTAATTTCT